CCCGCGGGGATCCGCGCTGCAGAGGCCTGGGACCCGGAGGACGAGGGAGGCGAGCTGCCTGCTTGCCCTGCGAGGGAACGGCCTACGAGTATCGCGGAGAAGAGGAGATTAAGGTTAATCTCTATACTTTTATCTTTTATAAAGAACGAAAGAAAAAAAAAAAAAAACAACAGAAGTATGGGGACGGTCTTTTTAGCAGAGCGGGCTGTGACAAGACAGGGGGTGATGGTTTAGACTAAAAGAGGGGAGATCTAGACTAGGTATAAGGGAGAAATCTTTTACAGTGAGTGATGAAACACTGGCCCAGGTTGCCCAGAGAGGTGGCTAGTGCCTTAGCCCCGGAAACAGTCAAGGCTGGGTTGGATGAGTCTCTGAGCAACCTGCTCTAGTTGCAGATGTCCCTGCTCAGTGCAGGGTGGTTGGACTACTGACCTTTAGAGGTCCCTTCCAACCCAAAACATTCTATGATTCTACCTCTTCCTAAACACAGCACGGATACCATGGAAGGCTGAAGCAGAATTGGGTTCATCTCTGTCTCTTTCCCCCAGTGGCATGTGGTTTGGACAAGAAGTCGCCCAGGTACTCATGCCAAAACGTGGCAGACTCCCTGTGGCACCTCCAGCTGCCGGAGCATGACCAGGTGCTATTGGCTGGTGTGAGGGTGGAGCTGGCTGTGAGGAGGAATACGTTGAATTGGAAGAAATGAGTCAAAACTGTGAATTATCTCCAGGAACCAAATGCATTTTTCACTGGCTTCCTTTCCACCACCCTCCCCCTCCCCCGGGTTTTGTGCTTCTCTGGGTCATCTGCAATGTGTTCTGCTGTGCCAGAGCTGCTGTTACTGAGTTCTTCCAAAATATGTTGCATTCTTTCTGATGTGGCTCAATACAGGTAGAAAGAAGCTTTCCAGGAGCATTTATTCTTTTTTTTTTTCTTTTCCCCCATATCTCTTTTTAAATTGATTTTTTGCTGTGAACTGGTGAACTGTAAGCAGTTTCTGCCTCTCTGGTGGTAACCCGCAGCAGGAAGGGGATTGCAGAGAGCCTGCTTTGTCCCGCCTCTAATTCTCTGCTAGTTGTCTTACTGTTAGGCAGAAAGCTCCTCTGAGGAGAGAGCTCATAACAGTCATATATAACAGTTGCACCTTTAAATTGGATGCTTTGTAGTTGTGGTTATGAACCAGGAGAGAGGTGAAAGTACAATTAATATCTGGTGCTCAAGGGAGAACAAGAGTGAGTTGCTTGTGAGAGCAGTGGGAGATGGGTTACAGCCTGACCATGGAGTTAAGTCTGACCCTACAGCGTGTGCTCAAGGGACAGCAGGTTATCTAGGTCATGGTAAAGGAAAGTACTCGCTCGACACATAGAATTTTTTTCTTGAAGTTTGGTCTCTGAAGCTCCGTTGTTCAAGAAAAAGGAACTGTAGTTCTGTGGCCACGGTGCATGTTAGGAACAGTGTTGGGATGTCCCAAGTTTGTCTACATATTTGAGCGCTGAAAGATTCTGGTGGGGCTTCTTGGCAGGTCTGCTGATCAGTAATCTGTGTGTGTTGTGCAGCAGCAGCCAACACAGCATGCTTGATGTAAATGTCGTGAACACTGAACACTCAGCTCCTGTAACACAGTTGAATATGCAGCCCACGCCTCCACTTAAAATGCAGACCAAACACGGGCCAGATAGTTCTCCAGAGGCTCTGCTTGAAACACTACATGCTGCAGCCTGTCGTTCCTGCAGAATGCAGTCTTTGAGAGTGGCTGTGTTTGTGTTTGAAGTAAGGTCTTCTGCTGCCTGGTAGATTCTTGCATGTAGGGTTTAGTTTGGCTTCGTGCCAAACTGCTAATTTACTTTCAGTAGGGAAGGATGTGGAAGTTTTGTCAACATAGAGCATACACGTGGCAGTGGCATGGCATGGGCAGCGAGTCACTTAAATAGGGTCGTGTACAAAGTCTTAAAATTGAAACCTTTGTCTTCTGCTGTAGACCTTGTGTCCAGTGTCCTTATGGGTACCTAACTGCTGCCCTTCTTCAGCAGCATCAGGAGCTGGAATGGCATTGGTTGCATACAAGTCAATCTTCAAGCTATTTTTGGGAACTTTTGTCTGTTTTTAAGCTTTCTTAAAAGAAAAAATGAAATGCAAACCCTGAGCCACTTGGAGTTCTCCTTAATGCTGTTACTGACCATGCAGAAATTTTAAAACTGCAAATGTACACATATAGTATAAAAATATATAAGTGAGAAGTTATTAGAAATTATGGACAGTTTGTGGCACAGCCTTGGTATGTGTTTGCAGGTTTTTATTAGACCAGTAACCCCTACACATGTCAGCAAAGAAAGTTTCTCAAATTCATTGAATTGGCACTTTGCAGCAAATATTTCAAAATGCTATAAAACCTGAATCATTAGAAATTAATCATTTTAATAACATTTGGTTTCTATTATGTACTGGAGTGTGGTGTAGAAGGTAAAATTATAAAAATCAAATGAAATATCTAAGCTCTTTATAGTCCTCTTTGTGTTTTTTTTTTACTTCTTCCTTCACAAGATATTTTGCCGTTTCATTCTGATTTTGGGATTTTGTGAATTTTTCCACAAAACCCAGTAATTTTCTGCTTTGAACAGCTTAATTTATAACATTAAAAGAGGAAAGCTAAATATTTCAGAGAAATTTTTGAAGAGCCTCTTAGTGAAGAGGCTTTAGTAAGAAGTTTTAAAGAATCTCGTCTTCCTTTTCCAACCTTTTGTCAATATGAAATCATTAATGGCACTCCCCTGAGATCCCACTAGGCAGTTCAGCTACGTATTTTTTCTGTGTTGTGCTATTGTCAATTGGATTTTATGGTTTTGTTTTTTTTTCTCCATGAGAGGCAAGTGTTTTCTGTGTGAGGACTTGATGTATTTGAATTGGCTCGGATGTTGCAGTTACCAGGAGGAACAGATGGGGACAGCTAGTGTGGGTCACTCCAGCCTTTAGCACTGTGCTAGCCCTGTGAAGGCTGCAAGCAGGCTCCAGTGTGCTAGGTCCTGTTACATGTGGTGAAAAATTATTTCTTGTCCTCAGTAACTGTCTTTCTTTATTCTTAGGGACCGTCAGCAAGCTGATATAAAATACTTATCTGAATGGAAGCCGTGGAAAAGAACTAGCAGTAGATCACTGAAAAAAGTTCTCAGTGAAGTCAAGGGATTGTTCTCTTACTTGGAACTTTGGCGGCATGATATTCACAGCATAGAAGGTATTTACTGTCTGATGTTGATTTCTTCTAGTTAAAGTTGCTTCTGTTATGGGTAGTTTTAGACCTGTGAGCATAGTTTCAGATAAAACTGTGTTTAAGAAGTTACCTGCTGTCCCCGCTGCTCATGTAAAATCTGTGATGGAGTAGAAGGAGAAAATATATTATTATTACTGGAGAAAATTGTTTAAAAGTCACATTTCCATTACAGTTGTATTGTTAAAAGCTTGCAATAGTTAAAACTAGCTTTGGTAATATTTCTTCACTTAGCTCAATGTAACTGAAATGATAATCTGCTCATTCTGTATTTTCAATGATTTTGTTGCCCTAATTATTGGCATGTTTCTTTTATTCCCAGGGAAGTTTGGTACTGGCATCCAGTCTTACTTCTCCTTCCTGCGTTTTCTGGTCCTGCTAAATTTTATAATTTTTATCCTGATGTTCAGTTTGGTTACCCTTCCCAGCATCATTTCTAAATATGGAATATTCAACAGTACCTTTGCTAAAATTCCTCCAAAGAACATAGGTAAATGTCTTTAAGTACTGCTGTTGTTTATAAGATTCCCCCTTTCCATCAGCTTCTCCTCCACCACCCAGTACAAATAAATGCTTTTTTTATGAGGGCTTGCCATGTTTGAATTAACTTGATATTACAATTTAATGGGCACTACCATTTGAGTGACTTTTCCTGCCTTTCTTTTGACAGAGTCTTTCTGCACAGTTTATGAACCTAGTGGTAATAAGGGACTTGTTTACTTCTATACTTACCTCAAAGACTTGCTTAGTGGCACTGTAAGTAATTAGATTTTTAAAAATTAAGTTTCTGTGTCTCACATGGGCAATGAAGCTTTGATAATTTTGAAAAATGGTAAGGTATATGCATCAATTCTCTAGGTGACCCTGCTCTGGCAGGGGGGTTGGACTGAATGATCTTTCGAGGTCCCTTCCAACCCCTATGATTCTATGTTCTATGATTCTATGATCAATGGGGTAAAATTAGCCTTTGTCTGTGAGAAGGGGAGTTTACAAGCTGACTATTACTGAGTGTCCACAAAGCCTGGTTGGCCACGTGCCTCTCCTCCCCAGCTGCTAAACGTTATGTATTCTGGAGCACACTGCCTATTGTGCTCTCAGTGTCCTTTGTCAGAGAGCTCTTTTATTGGAGAGGGGAGGGTTTTTGAGCAGGTAGATGCATTATGATTTGGTAGAGGCAATGGCAGTAGCTATAAGCTACAGAACTGTAGCTTTCTGAGGGCCCTGATAGTAATTCTAAATTTACAACATGATTCCTTAATACTAGGTTGGATTTAAGTGGGAAGTTGCTACTAGTGTAACAAATTCTGTTTAAACTCTATTTGTTTTCACAGGGGTTCCTTGAAGTAACAAGTTTGTTTTATGGGTATTACACAATAGATGCTGCATGGATCAGTGTCATGAGGTACAACTTGCCACTGGCATATCTGCTGGCAACATTTGCCTACCTTGCATTAAGTTTCCTATGGATAATAAAAAGGTAAATATATTGGTATAGTTTATTTGCCACTACCTATTGCACAGTTTACATTGCATTCTTGCTTCTAGGGGACAAGCTGCATTCTTGAGGTGTTTTATATGGAAATGGAGACTTTTTTTTGAGGGTGCCATATCATAGTAGCTAATTGTGTTTAGGAAACTGAACCAGCAAAAGGAAAAAAAAAAAAGGAAGTATTAATTTTTCATATATACACATATATATATATAAATAAAAGACCCTCAAATATACAGTAATTGTTGATGTTGGAGGATTTTATTCTGGGGGTGTTTTATTTCCCCATCTCACTTTCCTGAGCCAGCTCTTTGCAGTGCCAGAGAAGCACTGGGTGAGGTGAGAAGGTGTGACCCTGGCTAAGGGCAGAGAGAAGTGACCTGTGTCAGTCATGGCTTCAGCTGACTTTAGTGATTGAAGAACCTCACACTGAGAGCTTCCCAGAGACTTGCTGATGGAAAACAAATGTGGCTGCATGCTCATAGGTGGGTGGAGGTGTCATTTAGTCTCTGATAAGCCAGGTTGCTTGAGGTGTGGTGCTTTTTTTGTTTTCTGTGGATAAAAATGTGTCTTTTCGTTAATGAAGTAAAGTTGGATTTTTCTGTAGGTCTGTGGAAGGATTTAAGCAGAACTTGGTGCATGGTGAGGATCAATTTCAGAGTTACTGTAACAAAGTCTTTGCAGGCTGGGATTTCTGCATTACAGACCCAAATGCAGCACAGCTGAAACATCGCAGCTTGCTCTATGAGCTCCAAGTGAGTAACTTTCATTTTTCTATGATTATGGTTTTACATAGCTTAGGTGGCTAAAAAAGAGAAGTGTATAACTGCAGATAAAGGAACAGGGATAAGAAGGATTGAAGTGGTGTATGCTGGGGGCAGGGCAGCCCACATCCTCTTGCATGCTTTCTAGGTAGCAGAATTGTGGTGCAACATGAAAAGGATTGGCACTGAGGTTAGTGGCCCTTCTTCCCCCATTCTCTGGGGACTGAACCAAACATGTTAGCTGCTTGTCCTAGCTGTCTCTTCCTCACACTTTGGTCCTGCTTCCTGTGTTAGTTTCTACATAATCCAACAGGAAAAGCTATCCCAGCTATGACTTTGTTATTCCTGGTATTGTTGGAAATCAGTTGGAGTATTCTGGGTTTAAGTCTGCAATGTGGTAGGCAGTAGTTTGTGGAGGAATAAAATTCAGATGATTTGCTTTATACAAGTTGAGAACATTGTTGCAGTAAGAAGATACAGAAAGTTTTTCACTAGGTGTCTTTGACAGAGACACATTCAAAATGCTGATGCAGCTAACAGGTTTCCCAAATCATAGAATCCTTTAGGTTGGA